CAACGGTGAATAAAAATGCATCAAGAGCTTAAAACCAGCCAGAAGCTCGTTGACGTTTACGGGGTGAAACTAAATTTCATTTCCTCATTTGAGCCACTTCTGGTTTCAGACTCGACATTTACTTTCAGTCTCACTTCAGCTCCTGTGGCTCCTCCAGGCCTCTGGTCGTCCTCATCTGGAGGCTAAACTGCTGCTTTCTGACACCATCACATTCCAAAAAAATAAAAATAAAACATTCAAATAAACATTATGGCAGCAAACATGACTTTTTAACTGGTGTGTTTGCTGACAACAAGAGGCTGGATGGACCAGTCTGATGTAAATGTGACGGCATGAGGCCCAGCAGAGCAGCAGGAGGTCGGCTTTGTCATGTTAAGCTGTGTGTTGACCGTCAGCGGCTGAGGCACACTTCAGCTCACACACTCTGAAGAGTCCTGTTTGGACTCAACAACAACAAAACCAACAACAGGTTGCATCAGTCTTAAAGAGTTAAGGCAACTTCCAATGAGATTATATTCAACCAGCAACTTATTTAATGATTAGCAGGATTTTTAAAAATTAATTACTTATGAAGGATTAAATTAAAAGTAAAAAAAAAACAGTTATGTACTTTATACTCTATAATTGAAGAAGAAGAAAAAAACAACCTTGGACCAACCTAAATAAATTGCTTTAATTGGTAACAAGAAAGTGACTTTAGTTTGTCCAAATTACACAAAAATAAAGTAAAAGAAGTCATATTAATGGCACTGGTTTAAGTTAGATGTATTTGAATTACTTCATTTCTCTAAAATGAACACTTTCCATTGTAATTTTAAGCAACTTAAAATTCCATATTGTTCCATCTTAAATATTTGTTCTTTCCAAGTTTAAACTGTGAAATGACAGAAACAGAAACCACTGAAGGAGCAGGAAACCAAATTTAAACACAGTTTAAAGGCATAAAATGTAAATTTAAGTTGATAGAATCCAGAAAAGTAAACTTACATCAACAAACCAGAAAGATTAAAAAATATATATATATATATATACCTCATTTATTATAGCAAACTTTGGTCAGAACAACTTTTTTTGTTTTCATTTTGAGTTGCAGTTGGTTATTTGAACACAATATTCAAATTTTGTAAATAAAAAACCTCAAAATTTGAGTTTAAATGAAGTTGATGCAAAAGCCAACTTCATGACGTCATCTCAACTCATCAGAACCAGGTCCGGATCTTTGATTCTTGTTGTCTTGCACTCATTCCTTTTAGCCAAGAGGCGGGAATATGTTTCTTGAGTGCCTCCAGAAGCTTTTATCTCCATCACACCATGAAAGCATCTCTCCTCCTCCTCCTCCTCCTTTATCCTCCAATTCAGACAGCTGCAGCCAATCAGAAGCCTGGACTCATTGTGCAGAATCCAAACAAAACACGATGCGTCCTGCAGCCTTTAAATCATCCTGCAGCTCCGGTGTCCAGACCAGACCACAAGGAGACACCAGCAGCAGCAGCTTCTCCTCTTTAAACTGCACCAGAACCCAGTGAAGGATGACCCACTTCAGGCGCAGAGACGCGGTGCGCAGGAGCCTGTTCGGCCCGGTGGACCACGAGCAGCTGCGCCGGGACCTGAAGCTCAAACTTCAGCAGATCAGCGAGCAGGACAGCCGGCGCTGGAACTTTAACTTCGAGGCTGACGCGCCGCTGCCCGGCCGGTTCCAGTGGGAGGAGATGCCCGCACACTGCGCTGCGCCTTTTTACCGGGACTGCGCGCAGAGGAAGGACGCGGTCTGCTCCCCCGAACCCGAGCACGGCGACGCGCCGAGCGACCAGGAAGAGGGCGCAGGGACGGACCAGGAGAACTGCTCCAGCATCTCCAACACCACGCACAAGTGTCCCGCTGAGGTGACGCCCGTCCGGAGGAAGAGGACGCTCTCCAGAGCCGCAGCCAAACCCAGGAGCGACGCACGGATCACGGGTAAGAGCGGAGCGTCAGCGCGCCCTGGCATCCAGAGATAACCCTGACATAAAGACAGAACAACAAGTGATTAAACATCTTCTGCTCTTCTCGTTTTTTTTCTCTGCAGATTTCTTTGCAAAAAGAAGGAGGTCGACAGAAACTAAGAGCGTCCTGAATGCTTTGAGCTCCACCGAAGCAGCTCAGTGCAGAACAATAAGATGAACTTTCTCCATCCTGCAGACTGAACCAAAGACTGTTTACTGCACCAAAGGCTTTCATTTGATGTCATTTTATTATTAAGTTTTGCGTGTTTAGTGTATTTATTTTATTTATGGATGCTTTTATTTAAACTTTTTATTTTGTACTTTTTTTTTTTTGCATTATTGTTTTGCTCCCAAGAATATTTAAAAGACTTGAATTAATTTAGTTTTTTTATTATTATTTTTAATGTGTGTCTTTTTAATCTTTTCATCCTCCTTGTTGTTAAATTTGCTGCTTCTTCCTTGTATAGAAAAGCACTATTTTCGTCGTGGTGATCAAAAAGCTTGTACATTCCTATAAGTATTGTAATTTTAATAAACTGTGTCATGAGAGACACTAACTCTACTTTTGGTTTGAATCGTTTTCTGGCTTTGCTGCTGTAAAACACAAAGAAACTTGGAGGTCAAACCTTTACGACGGCAGCATCTGGATGTTTTTCCTCGTCTTCCTCAGTCTTGAAGAAAATGTGACGAAGCAGTTTGAGTACGTCAATAGGATGAGATGTAAAAGTATTGATTTGCAATATGTGAAGTAAATAATTAACCTTTCACCTCCTGTTTGCCTGAAGCAAAAAATCAGCTGGTTTGTTCCCAAGAATGTTTAAAAAATATTCCAAGAATATTTAATGTCTTTGTCCAGCTTGGAAATGAACTTCTAACACTATGAGCTGCTTCTCACATATATAGAAAAGCACTATTTTCTTCCTAAATGACCTGAGATGATCAACAAATGTGTTAATTCTTATAAATATTTCAAATTTCAGAAACTAATCAGCTCTACTTTGGATTTGATTCATTTTCTGCTTGAAAATTTTCATGTTTTTTGCCATAAAACTCACCAAAAAAACTTTCATTAGACGATCAAAACTCAGGAATTTACACTTTAAACGAACTTCTCAAACCTTTACAGTGACATTTACTTATCAAAATGTTTATTTATCTATTTTTTGGGCGTTATTGGTTTGTTGCAGAGAATATTTACTTTGGTTTCTGCAGTTTTAAACTTTGTCCAGCCTGTTGTTTATTCTCTGTGACACACTAAACTGCTTCTTAGTTGTATAAAAAAGCACAAATTTCTTCTTAAATGAATTGAGATGATCAAAAAAGAAGAAAACATGTAAATTCTTATAAATATTCCGATTTAAAACAGTTAATCAGTGATGCTAATTCTACTTCTGATATGATTCATTTTATATTTTTGCTATAAAACACAAAGAAGCTGATTAATATGCAGCCAAAGCTCATTATTTTCAGTCCAAATTCACACATTTTAGGTCATTTGCATCCATCATGCCAAACTTTTACAAAACACGAAACAATCAGAATCTTAATTTCACTTCCAAAAACTCAATCTTAAAGACAATGTGACATAAATGACATCAGTTCTGCAGTTAAAACTTCAATCATTTAACTCTTCCACATGAACTGCAGCAGATTGACTTTAATAAGTGAAACCATTGATTTGTAAAGCATGAAATAATCTGTGTTTATGCATAAATCTTACATTTAATCTTTCTGTGATCACCACGCTTCTTATCTTTACGTGCAAAACACAGATTTATCCTAAAAAAAAGTCAGATATTTAAAGGCTAGTCCAGGTTTTAGTGACCAACACACTGTCCAAAAGCTCCTGTCATCACTTATTGGCATAAAAAAAGGACTTTTACAGTCTCACCCATCAGTGTTTAAAATCTATCGTTTCCTCGATTTGACTCATGAGCAGCGTCTCCAGCCACAGACGAGCAGCTTCATAACGAGCGTCTCTCTGCAGTCGTGGAAAAATCAATTCGAGTTTGGCAATCGAAAGGGGAAAATTGTTTCGGATGTAATTGCGTTTTCTGGGTCGTATTATGAGATATTTCAGCTATAAGGGATGTGCTGTCGGCCTTAAAATTACAACCATTAATATGGGCTGTAATTGCCAAATTAGCCCATTAGAAGAGGCCAAATCCGGCATAGACGCGTTCGCTCCCACAGCGTTTGGGCTTTAAAGAAATTCAAGGAGCCATCTGGCCGCGGAGCAGCACAATGACCACAAAGCAGAGTGTGCCGTCCGTTTCACCTGCAAATCAGCCTTTGGAGTTCCTCGACCCCCCCAGGACTCGGCTGCACTTCCCTCTTTTCACTTTGTCCCCCTTTTCACAGTCAAAGCGGCTTTTATCGCGGACATGTGCCCAAAACCAAACCCACCCGTGTTTGTTCTCTGCTTTGGCTACTTGTTCTGGGATTTGCACAGAAAAGACAAACGATCACGTTTTTAAATGACAAACTTTTAAATCAGGAACTGAAGATGCGACACTTTGTTCCTGTGGATTTATTTTTAGATGACCAGTCAGGAAAAAAAAAAAATCAATAATCAGACTATCCCACGGGTCCATAGGATCCCAATGGGCTCCCAAGTTCTCCTCCCACTCCTATAATTAAACTCCCTTAAAGATGTGGACTACAAACTGCTCAGTGCATCATCAGTGAGGGAAGCTGTCACCAGCATCGTGGATCTGATCGTTCCCTTTATTACAGGAATGCATCACAAAACAAAACCCTGCGCTGTCAGTCGTACAATAATAATATTAATCTGCAAGACGTCTGATCAGGATTCGTCCAAAATAGATTAGCACTGACCAGAGGTTCCTTAATTAGCCATTTACTACCATCACAAAGGAAACCAGCAGCTTAATTACAGTTTATTCTGATGATTTAGCAAAAAGCTTGTTAGCAAAATGTGGCCTTTTGTGTAAACATGCTTTTATATTCCATTATTTACTGTAGCAATTGACCAAATTAGCATTTCTGTTGCTATTTCTTAATGTTTCGAAACCACTTTTACACAGAATATGCTTCGCCAAAGCAGCTACTTGCACAAAAAAGGCAATTTCATGTCTTTCTGGACGCGCTGATCCTCTGTATTGTTGGAGTGTTTATGGCTGCAGCACTAATTACTGGGAGTTATAAAAAAACACCACACACAACAACAAAAAAAAAGCCTTAAAAGCTCCCTGTCGTGACGCTCTCCCCTCACCCGCCTCCTGCCGGCACAAAGGCCAAACCACCGTCAGCACACTTTGGGAGGCTGCGGCCCATTGTTGCCCACACCAGAGGCAGATGGTCATTTGGGCCTTTTCTCCACATGGCCACTTGTGTGAAGGAATGCCGGGACGCCCCGCGGACGGCCGGCCGGCGGGGGGAAAAGGTCACCATCTGCCGCCCAAAGGTCACCTGTGTAAAGAGCTCGGACTCGGCCGCGCTTTTGGCCGTTTCCACAAGTCGGCGAGGACACGACTCGGACTCCCCCCGCCTCGAGGCGTCCGAGGAAACTGCCAGCGCCACTGATGCACGACTCTGAAGCAAACGCCGACTTGGACGGTGAGTCAAATGCGGAGAACGTATTTGATATCTGTGTGTGAGTCACTTTTTTTTGTCATTTAAAACGAGGATAAAACAGATATTTGTGCGTTTGATAAACAAAGAGAAGAGAGTTTGTGTTAATATCACAAGTTTACACAACAGAGCTCACCTGAAATCACCTCCCCAACTGTGCACGGCTCTGAGCACGCCCACGCTGCAAACGAAAACCAAAACAATGCAGGGAAAGATGGTAGCAAAAAATACAAAACTAAAAATAACAGCAGGTATCTGTAAACTACAGGGTTTCAGCTGGTTTAAATACAGCAAAAGTGTAATTTTACAGACAGTTTACAGTCAG